TCTCTCTCTCTCTCTCTCTCTCTCTCTCTCTCTCTCTCTCTCCTACATTTTCTTACATCTTTGTCCAGCTTCTCCCATTTTCTGCACTGTGGCATCTTAAAGGAATTTTTTATTTTTAGCTTTGTGTGTGTGACTTGACTTGAAGAGAGAGAATAAGAAACATGCATAAAGGTAGGCAGGGCCTTGAACACCATGTTAGAGAGAGAGAGAGAGAGAGAGAGAGCGCCTAGGCTGGGCTCAACTTCCTCATCCTCCTGCCGTAGCTTCTTAGATGCTAAAGTTAGGCGCCACCATGTCTGTCTCAAGATTGTATTGTTCTATTAAGAGGACGAGAACAAGAGTGTTGACTTTCACATCAGGAGTTGTGCTCTTTCTCCACATCCCTGACTGGGCACGAGCTGGAGTGTGTTATGCCCCATTACTGCTTTGGTAATTATTAAGAATGGCATGGCCTAGGCAGGGACAGCATGATCAGATTTGTGGTTGTGAAGGATTTCTCCATAACTAGGGTTAGGTCAGTGGTTAGGGCACTTGCCACACAAGCATGAGAACCAAACTTAGGTTTGGGTGTGGTGGCCTGGATGAGGACAGCCCTCACAGGCTCATCTATTTGAATGCTTGCTCCCCAGTCAATACAACTGTTGGGAAGGGCTAGGAGGTGTAGCCTTGTGGAAGGAGGTTGGGCCAGGCTAGGCTTCAGGTTTTGAAAGACTCCTGCTACCCCCAGTGTCCTCTCTCTGTCTCCTGCTTGAGGATCAAGATGTGAGCTCCCAGCTGTTCCTGGCTCCGCCATCATGGACTCTACCCCTCTGAAACCACAAACAAATTAAACATTTTTTTCTATAAGTTGCCTTGGTCTTGGTGTTTTGTCACAACAATAGAAAAGTAACTAAGACACCAAGTGAATGCCAAATGAGTGGAAGGCAGGGTCAGAGAATCCTCATAGAAAGCTGGCTATAGCTATATCGATGAGCTCTGGGTTTGATTGAGATTCCCTGCTTCAGTGAAGAGTCTCTTCACTGACCTGTGCATGCAAAAACACTTGAGTGCAGCACACTTGCATGCACAGAGGAGTTGGGGGAGAGGAGAGACACACATTTACACATATACACACAGAGAAAACAGAAGCCTAAGAAAATGAGAGCTAAGGACAGGTGCCTGTAATCTTACTAGTTTAAGCTTGGCAGAAGCATCTAGATGCATACACCCCCACCCCTGCACCCGAGTCAGAAAGATTTGGACAAAGTGAAGTGAGTCGCTGGAGAAAGCTTCCTTTTCCCACTCATGATCCGCCATAGAGCTGGCCACACCCCCATAAATCCAGTGTGCAGCTTGGTCCTCGTCAATAACCGAGTTCACCTAGCCCAGGTCAGACTCTGTATGGCTCACTGCCCCTTTCCTGAACAACTCACTGGCCTCTGAGAGCCAGACAAACAAACCCAGCCACTAGAGACTCCTAGATTCAGTCCATCGCTCATGGGCCACCAGCCCCGTCTCCCTGATCCCAGCGCAGATAGATACCTGATGAACAGGAGGACATGCGCATCAGTGTGTCCCGAATGTTCTTCAACCTATCCTGGAACCTCTGGTCCTGGTCCCTCCTCTGCTGCTCCTTACTTTCCAAGTTCTCCTTTATCTTCTCTCTCTCAGCCTGGCAGGCCTGTAGTTGTTGCTCAGTGTCCTCATGGGTCTTCTGCGTCTCCTGTAATGTGTCCTGACTCGAGGTCAGCTTTCTCTGAGACTCCTCAAGCTCCACCTCCTTCTGCCCCAGCTGACTTATCTTCTCCCTGAGCTGGTGCTGCAAGCTGCTGTTGGTGACTTCCCAAATCCTGGTCACCTCCTGGAACTGCTGAGACACCTGCAGATCTGTTTGGCCGTAGGAGAGACTGGTTGGGTGTAGCACCACACACCTGTATCCCAATCCAGGGAAGGCTGGGATAGGAGGATAGCAAATTTGAGGCCAGCCTGGGCTACATATGGAGACCCTTGTTGGGGGTGAGGGGTGCTGCAGGGAGACTTGAGGGCACTTCCTCCAGCTGTACCCTGGTGCTCTAAGACTTCAGCATCAACTTTTTCTACTTCTTGAAACGTCTTGTATAATGTCCTGAACTTAAGATCTGGCTGCCTGGAGTTTAAGGAATCCTGAACTGGGTAAGGATAAGAAGTTAGGAACACTTCAGGGTAGTCCCAGCTGGAAGCCAGAGCCAAAAGTCAAGGATGTCAGGACAGTGTCTTTGAGCCCTGCTAAGGAAAGGCCACTTGTCAGGAGAGAAGGCAAGGTGTTTAGAATGAGTGGGGAATGAAAGGATACTCACAGTAGACTCCCAGGCAGATGACAGCCACCCCTAACATCAGACAGGTCAGGAGAAGGCCGAGCAAGAAGTACTGCAAGCAGACTGTAGGACCTTAGGGGAAAGGGATGAGAGGCAGTTAGCTCCAGGACGCTACAGTGAGACAAGGGGAAAGCATTCCTGAGCAGATTTTGTCCTGCAGGGAGTAAGTGCTAGGGACTGTTACTGGCGGAAAGGATGGGGGGGGGGGCTTACCTGGCTAAAAAACTAAATTTTATACAGAGAAGGGATCTGGAGGCACGTGACTAGAGACCATCCGAACAGGGGAATTGTGATCTGGGACTCCATGTGGGAACAATCGCTACCGGGATGAGGTAGGTAGTGGAGTGGCTAGCCTATCGTGGAAGTCCCAAAGGCTCATCTGGCACGGGGCAGAACCCAGCCCCACCTCTCCGGAATGCACATGGGTATGTAGCATCTAATATCCCCACGCCCTGCGCCCGCGGGGCGGGCAGCTGGGAACCGCACGCTGGGGCTGCGAGGGGCAGGGGTGGGGGGGAACGGAGGTGGGGAGGAGGAGAGAAGGAGGGGTAAGAATACGCACAGCTGGGAATCTGCCCGAGAGCAGATGACTTCACGGAACTCCAGGACGTAGTTGGTTGCTCTGACCCGACCCCTGCGGAAGGGGAGCGCCCGCAGTGAGGATGGAAAGTCCCTGTAACCTCCCTTCTCTCTAGCCCCACATCATGCTGAGACCCTAGTCTGTCCTGAGCTGTGGAACAGCCGCGTCACTCTCTGGACTTCATCTGCTGCCCCTGAGTCTGTTTGGGATGAACTCAGCTCACCTCTTGCTTGTTCCCAGAAGTGCCCCGCCAGGATGTCCTCCCGCGAAAGCCCTTCTTGGGTCGCCTTACCCACACTCCCTTTGTGTACCTCTTTTCTCTCCTGGGCCTCCCTTTATCTCTTCCTTATCATTTTCTTAGGCTCCCTTGTCTGTGACCCTTCGTCCTTCTTCCACGTCCTTCTCACTCCTGTTTTCCACTGAAGCCGGTCTCACACCGGGCTGCCCCGATCCTGAACCCAGCTTACCGCGAGATCCTCCCACTCATCCTCCCCCTGGCTCTCTGATAGCTCTTTCTCAGATACTGCCCTGCTTCTTTCTCCAAGTCTGCTCTGCACTCTCTGGATGAAGACACCCCCCTGTAAGTGTCCCTGGTCCTCCATACCTGCTTTGTCCGCTAGTGCAGGGGAAGCCAAGCCTGGTGGCCTTCCTGGGACTTGAGACACTTGCACGTTCTCGTAGGTGAGTTCCCCATCCTCATAGGCCTCACAGTCTGGAAAGGGAAAAGCTCAAAGTCGGAGTCTGGAGTGAGGTCTGTGGAGCAGGGGTGGAGTATAACAGAGGAGAGCAAGCAGGACTTACCCTGTCCTAAATGGTTAGATGCGCTGTTCTTCAAGGGCACTTTCACAAAGCGCAGGTCTGCGTAGGTGATGGCGTCAGCCATAGCCCTGGGCACCTCTGCTTCAGCTAATCCACTGGCCCACACCTCCCTGGCCCCTCTCCTCTTTTAGACATTGAGTTCTCTGTGTGACTGTAAGGCTCAGCCCTTTGCGCTATGACGTCAAATCACAAAAGAGGAAGGTCTCTGGCAGATGGACTCAATGAAGTAGAAGAGGTCCTTGGGTTGGAGCCAGAGGACCAGAGAGGGACGCCGGGGTCCAAAATACAGGTGCTGAAGCTAGCCTGGACCTGTGTCCAGCCAGACCCCCCTCCTCATGCATCCTAGGCCCACTTTGGCCTCCACAGTACCTAAGATCCTCATACCGGTCCCTGTGTGTTCCCTGGTTGCTCACTCCCTCCTGACTGCCAGTCACTGAGATCCATCAAAGCATAGCTGAGACTCTGGCTCTTAACTGACCAGAGACATCACCACAGTCACTACTCCAGGTTACAGCTTCATCCTCAACCATCAGATTTGGGGTTCCTACCACAGAGCCTTAGCTCCTCCTCATTCTGGGGTTTCCAGTAGGTCCATGAGTTGCCAGGAGGGGGTCCTTAATTTAGTAGTTCAGATAAGGTTCATGTGCATTTTTCATGGAGTGCTCCTGAAGTAACCCTGACTCCTCCCCTCCTGCCTGCTGAGCTGTCACCCAGAAGCCATCCCTGGGAATCTGACAAATTTTTTTTGGAGGGGAGGAGAGGAGGGGATGCAAGGGAGGCAGGAACAAGTTGGTTTTCCTCTGTGAGCATCCCAGACTCCCCACTTCATAGCTTTTCCCTGCTTTCTACCTGACATACCTGTGAGTAGCTGTCCCCTCCTCCATCTGTCTTTCCCTTGATATCCTGTGGCGTCCTCTGTGTTCCCGCATCAGAGCCGTATCAGGAATCAATGTATACTTGGAGCAGCTCTGGGCTGGCCTAAAGGTCTAGCCTGAAGCAACAGTAGTTCTCACATACCCTTTTAGAGAGAAAAGAAAGGAAGTGGTGAGTGTGAGACTCAGTATAGGTTATGGTGGGCTGGAGAGCTGGCTCTGTGGTTCAGAGCCCTGGCTGGAGTCCCAGCACCCACAACGGCCATTCTCAGCCATCTGTAACTCCAGTTCCAGGGGCTCCCGAGCACCAGACATGGACATGGTGTACAGACATACATGCAGGCAAAACACAGGCACACATAAAATAAAACCTAAAAACAAGAAGGGGGTGGCCATGGTTTCCTAGGTAGAACTGAGGCAAAGAAATGTCCCCTTGTTCTTACTAAGTTCTTCCCCTACAAGATCCTGGGGGCTGGAGGTGTAGCTCAGGGGTCTAGCGGGAGTATGATGGTCTGACCTCACTTCCCAGCACACATAGACACACGTGCAGTCCAAACGTTACCATCCCATCATGCTCGTCCTCCCATCCCACCCCCCAAAAAATGAACACTTGGGCCAAGTGTGGTGGTGTACACCTTTTATCTCAGCAATCAGGAGGCAGAGGCAGGCATTGCTAGTCCCTGTGAGTCAGAGGCCAGCCTGGTCTACAGCATGAGTCCTAGGCTGGCAAGGGTTATATAATGAGACCCTGTCTCACAGAGAGAAAGAGAGAGGGCGGGAGAGAGACACAGAGAGAGACAGACACACAGAGAGACACACAAAGAAACAGAGACACAGAGGAGAAGAGGCATTTGTAGAGACCACAAGCCTAAGTTATTGTAGGTGAAGAGGCAAAGAGGGATCTTGATCTCAGAGGAGGGAGACAGTGGCAGGAGAGTTGCAGAGCTGAGAGCCCAGAGGTACTCTCTAATGTTTCTACTACAACGAAGCCTCTTATAAGAATCCCAAAAGGCCTGCATGCTTTGAGGGTTGGAATGAGCTGAAACCAGATGTGTGGAGGTAAGAACCGCCCCCCTCCCCACCACATCCACTCCCCCCTCCACTAGCTGTCCTACAGGGGGAAGGAGGGGGGAGAAAGGTAAAGTTCCTCCCCACAGGCTGCCAACCCACGTGACTGGTGGTGTTGGGCAGGGCCAGGGGATGTTAGGAGAGCCCTTTTGCAGTGGCTAGTGGAGTTTGCCCCAGAGAGGGCAAACACACCCATCACTTGAGGAAGGTGTCTGAGGAGAGGCAAGTGTGTACACACGCTTATGTGTGTGCTTGCGTGTGCACAGCCCTTGCACTTGTGGCCTTTTGGGGTGTCTGTGGGAGGCGAGTGCCTGGGTCAAAATGGCCCTGAAGAAGGAAACAGAACAGATCCTGCGGGCTGAGGCTGCTGATGACAGCCGTTCTCTTTTGCCATAGCAGCGAATGAGGTGACATTATCAGAAAAGTCATCATAGCACAAGACAACAGGTTTTACAAATTATTTCCTTTTGGTGGTTCATTAGTTTAAGGCTTCTCTGCAGCTGTTAACGGTTCCTGCTTGATTAAAGTTTCCAACAGCCCAGGACCTTCCTCCGGGCACTGTGACTGGGCCTCCCCCAGAGACTAGGCAGTGGACTGGTGACTCCCTAGGGGCCTGTGGGGGTTGGGGGGTGAGAGTGAGTAGGAGGGCACAGAGCAGCTGGTGTCGAGGATGGGTGGGGACAGTCAGGGCATGGCATCTGTGGTACACAGGGTGTGGGGGCGGGCAGAGCATGAGTAACTGTAAAGAGGCTGACGGGGATTCCATGGACTAGAGACAATGTCTCAGTTCTCAGAACCTCATTATAAGGCGAACATGACCTGGATGCAAGATGCCCAGGCTGAGCTTCTAGTATCCACTGGAAACAGCATCTGTGAGGGTCTTAAGAAAGTGGTCCCTAGATGGAACTGGGCTGAGAGGCACATCTCACCGCATTGCCTTAGAGGTCTTCATCAGGCGTGGTCTGGATTCTCTCTTCTTTGGCCCCTTTGGTGATGGTGAACTACCTCTTCAAGACATTTTCTATCCCCTTCAGTCTTAGGCCAGCTTGTAGTGTCTACATCCAAGCAGCCCTGGTAGAGGAACTGTGACAGATCTTGCAGGCTGAGGATGCCCATGACAGCCCCTCTGTCCTGGGATGGATTTCTAGATGGTCTTGTATTTTACAGATGGAAACGAATGAGGGGAGCGAGTCTCCGTCTCCCTGGGTGTGCATGAAGAGTTTTGTATTGGCATTCACATTGTCTTTCAAAGTTGGATATGCAAATGGAGGTCTGGGATTTAGTTCTACCACACTGTCCTGATGTCAGAAACACTGGGGGCTTTAAGAACTGAGAGATCAGAGCTGTGCATCAGGACCACAGTGTCATCACCCAGGATCTGATGGTGTGAGGACAAATGGCAAATGTTGGATCCTGATATTTATTTAGTCTACCATGTCTAGATAGCTCATCTGAGCTCCACACAAAATGGGGGCCTCCCTTTTCCAGCAGGACCTCCTCTTCTCTGCCTGCCTTATTTGGGGAACCTGACCCCCACACCCTCTACCTGAGGAAGGTCATGTAGCCCTTGACAAAACTCCAGGTTCAACCTCCTCTTTCCAGATAAGTACCTGCCCAGCACATACCTGGGATCCCTGTCTCTCTATGCAAATGAGGTGTTCACAGTATGTTAAGCTCCAGCCAATGGTTTACATTCATCCTGAAAACGCCTTCCCACTCTCCGAGGTTCATATATAGTTCTTGTTCACACCAGATAACATGTATGCACACAGGGTGTTTCACTGAAGTTTGTCTAAGAGAGCTGTCTCATTGAGTATTGTCTAAATGAGCTGTAACACTAAAATCCTTAGAGAAGGCCTCTCCCTCCACCCCCTCACAGCACCTCCCAACTGAACTGGGACCTCACCCATTCTAGGCTCTGCCTCATGCTTCCAGCCCAGTGTACTGTGATGTCTGGACACCTTGAGAGAAGCAGAAGAACTTAGAACCACAGGAAAAGCTTTGCCTTGCCCTGACTGTCCCACTGCTTATTATAGAGAGTGGGTTGTCGAGGCTGATGGGGGAGGGGCCCAGCTGTGAATTCGTTATGTGGAAAGGGGTTCATTTGTCTCATTTCGGTCATGCAAGTACCAAGCAGCCATCAAGGAAACTCTAAGCTAGCTGTACCTTCATCGTCACTGCCCTCTGGGAAGCTCTGGTAGCAGACTTAAGGACATCCAAAAAGTCCATACACTAATCCCAGCTGCCTATGAGTATGTGACTTTACCTGACCAAATGCACTCAAGTGAAGGCCCTCTAGTTGGGCGAGCATCCTTTCTATCCTGATCATCCCACTTTAATTTCAAGGGACCTCAAAGGAAGGACTTTTCCCAGAGAAGAAAGACCTTCCAGGAGGAGGAAGGGTCAGAGACATGGGATGCAAGGGCTCAACCTTGGTTTTGAAGGGAAGGGGCTCCGTGAGCCAAGAAGTCTGGGCAGCTTCCAGAAACCAGTAAAACCAGGAAATGATGTTCTTCTTGAGCTGCTACAAATTAGCCATCCCTGCAGACGCCAGACGGACTTTGAACTTGTTATCCTCCTGACTTAATGTTGGGGTGTGATTTTTTTTTTTCAAGACAGGGTTTCTCTGTGTAACTTTGGGTGTCCTGGAACTCACTCTGTAGACCAGGCTGGCCTTGAACTCAGAGATCAGCCTGCCTCTGCCTCCCGAGTGCTGGAATAAAAGGCGTGCACCACCATCACCGCCTGTCTTGGGGTGTGACCTTTAAAGAGGCCCTTGATAAAGTTTATATCTCTTTCTAGTAAAGCCTTGGGTGCTTTCTAGACTGCTATTTACACATAAGGAATAGTAACTTGTATACTCCTAGTTCTCGGGAGGTTCAGGCAGGAGTTCAAGGGTAGCTGAGGATAGGTAGCAAGTTCAGTGCCCGCGTGGGCAACATGAGAACCTGTCCCCTCCCGCTCCCCCTCACTGTGATGTGTGACAAGGGCAGAGCTGACCTTTATATTCGTAGTCATGTTCTTTGTGTCACATCACAGACAAGCTGTCTCCTGTAAACACAGCGGCTTAACTGTTATCTGTCTTCCATCTTTCTTTCTTTTTAAATGTTTTATTTTATTTTAGACAGGGTCTATCTGTAGCTCCAACTATACTGGAACTTACTATGTTGAGCTAAAGTGAGAAATTTGGTTTAAGAACCCAGTTAAGGTATGTGAATATTATTTTGTTTTGATCTCAGGTGTGGGGTATGGGG